AGAAAGTTTTTTTCTTAAAGTTCACTTAACTCTTCTCTCTATAGCCAACCTACGATTGAAATTCAAATGTGATTTTACAAAGTTGTATCTCAATTGGCTGACTCTTTTCCAATAAATTTAGTGTCATTATATCAGATATGTGATCTATTCTTAACCTTTTTCTCCCTAATTCAAAAACTATTCATTAAAATGAAAGCTCTTTCAGCTTTGGCTAACAGAATGCCATAGGAGTGACTTTTTTTTATCCTACTGTAAAGTTTCAGTGAGGGGAACATTGCTTAATTCTACATTATTGTCTACAAAATCTAGAAAGGAATTTCCACTGTTTACAATTCATTTAAATCATTCTGTTTTCCACCATCTATCCTTAATGAAGTAAGTTCTTCATGAAGCCAATTAGAAGATTCTAATATATAAAAAAACCTAAAAAATGATTTCATCATTCCTTCTGTCTGAGCAGAGATGTAAGTTCATCTGTTGAATTATATTTTCTAGCAACATATTCCTAGGAAGAGCATTAAACTGATTGTTTTATTAAATGAAATATCTTTTTACTTATCTGACTTGAATCTACTTGAGATTCATGCTTTCCAGCAACAATACTTAAATTTTCCAAAGTGTGTATGATATATTGGTTAGTTTTTGTTCATTCTGAATGTTAGATGGTGGTGACTTCAATGTAACTGAATTTTATGAAAGTTCTCCATGAATATGAATCATTGAAGTAAAACTTTCCAAGAAATAAATGTTGGTTAATCTCAGGCCTAGAATCAAGAAGATCTGAGTTAAAATTTGGCCTCAGATAATTACAAGCTTGTGAACCTGGCTAAGTTACTTCACTCTCTGTTTGCTTCATCTGTAAAAGGAGCTGGAGAAGAACATGGCAAAGTACTTCAGTATCTTTGCCAAGAAAACCTAAATGTGGTCATAAAGAATCTAAAGTGACCGAAAAATCTGAACAACAAAAAGCAGTAACAATCTCTGTATAAAGCATAATTTGGGAAACAAATGATCAAAATTTTCTATGTAATACAAGATGAACCATTCATTTCTGTCCCTGTACTAGAGAAATTTTAATTATTTCAGTGTCAAGTTCTTTAGCTCCAACTTCTAGTTTGGTTTGATTTTTTAAAATTAGAATTATGATAAATAAAATGGATTTTATTCAGAAATATTTTCAATGATTATTATTTTTTGTTTTAGTTAGGAAATTGCTAAATGATAACTACAATCAATGATTCAAATAGTGTCAAATGAGGAATTTAGGAATATCTTCTAACAACTTCCTAGCTATTCCAAACATTCTTCCCAGCACAGGGATATGTCATATGTCATGTCTGATTGTTCTTGATCCCATTTGGGGTTCTTTTAGCAAAGATCCTGGAGTCATTTGCCATTATCTTCTCTATCTCATTTCACAGATGAGGAAACTGCGGCAAGCAAAATTAACTAACTGCCCAGAGTCACACACCTAGCAAGGGTCTGAGGGTACATTTGAACTTCAGAAAGTGAATCTTCCTGACTCCAGGCCAAACACTCTATCTACTAGACCACCTAACTATACCTAGCACTGAGTAAATACTTAACAAATATTTAACAAATCTGACTGGCTGACTTCATATCTAAAATGGAAAATTCCTGAAATCTAGCAAGCAGGTTTTTGAGGCTGGTAGGAGTCTCTTTGGGCAGGCTTTGACACACCACTGTCTTAGTTTTAAAAAGCCCAAAGTGTCCCCCTGCATCCAGGTCCATCTCCAGTCCTCCTGACCTATGTCTTGCCACTGGACCCAGATGGCTCTGGCAGAGAAATTGAGACTGGTGAGTTTGCACAGCCCTCCTTCACTTAAATCCAATTAAATTGCAAGTCATGGCATCACCTTCCTGATGCTATGATCCTATTCGAGAAGGAAGGGCAAACAAAAACAACAGCTTTGAAAAACGGCTGAAAATTAACAAGTTTTTAGAAGTCTTAGGAAGCTGATTCTAATAGCCATGATGGTCTTAATCACACTTTGATGCTTATTTCATAAGATTTCTTCAACATTCAGATCAACCATTTTCTTATCTTACCCCAGTTTTGCTCTTGAGGATGTAGAAGTTATGTTACTCAGGGCCAGACACTTTAGAGTGAAGCCTGCTCCATTTTCACTCCACTGCTATTATATCTTAACCTTTATTATATCATTTCTGATAAGATTAAGAATATAAAGGGTAATTTCAGTGGTGAATATTTAATCTGAATTTCTATTGTAACTGAAATAATTAATTACATACTTTAGTTCATGAATGCAGGATTTCATTTAGATCCATTCTACCTAGCTAAACAGCAAGCGATTCTTCACAAGTACAAAAATCCAGCAAAAACATGGTTTAAAATAGGAGAAAATGTAATACTAGGGTTTGACAGCCGGCTTAAACTGTAATATCTCAACTGGCCACAAGACGGCAGTGCCCCAAAAGGTTCAATAGTCTTAGTGCAATATTCGCATTGGACACCAGATGTCACCGAAAGACCATATTATAAAACTTAAAGTTAATTACTCTAAAATTTTTTTCTTAAGCACCTACTAGATTTTAGGGGCTGCTCTAGGTGCTGAGAATATAAAGACAAACATGAGGCACTCCCTGGAATTAAAAAAATACATATACATATACACGTCTATACAAAGCATCAACAAAAGGAAGGGTAAAGAGGTGGGCGTCTTATAATTATTTGGGACCATATTGATCACTCAACAGCATTTATTAAGTGCCTACTATGTGCCAGACACTGTGCTTAGTGCTGGGAGTGGAAATAGAGGGCAAAAAAAATTCTACGCCTCAACTAGCTCACAATCTCATTGGAGAATCAAAGAGCAAATGAAATAAAGCTGTGTACAGAGTAAATAAGAATCAATTTAGAGAGGGGGTCACTACAAGTGTGAGGGTTTGGGATAGGCTTCAAGTCAAAGATGAATAGTTGACGGCAACTTTAAAAGAAAAAAACCGATGGGTGTCAGTAGTGAGGAGTAAGGAGGAAAAGCATTCCAGGCATGTTGTTTTAGGTAGAGAAAATGACAGGAGTCAAGAGATGGAGTATCTTGGTCATAGAACAGCAAGGAGTCCATTGTCAAAGTATGAAACAATAAGTGGAAGGGAGTAAAGTGTAATAATATTGGAAAGATAGGAGGTGACTAGGTTATAAAGGGCATTGAATGCCCAACACAATATTTTGTATTTAATCTCTGAAGTGATATGGAAGTATTACAGTTAATTGAGTAGGGGGATGAGATGGTTAGATTTGCGTTTTAGGAAAATAGTTACTTCTGGGCCTTTCTGGCTCAGAGAGAAAGTAAATATTAACTGTTTCTTTTTCAGCCAGCAACCCTGTTCTTCCCCTCCAATTTAATTAGGGGCCATCCCTTGACTCACTTCTTAAAGAGTCCTAGTCACTGAATGGGCATTGCCTCACTCACAGTGAAAAGCTGGAAAGCCCTCAGCTTAAAAGGGCCAAGTTCTTCCACTGTATCCTGGGCTGTCTCCAGTCCTCATGACTGCTATCTAGCTGCTGTATCTAGATGGCTCTGGAGGAGAAAGTGAGGCTGGTGACTTTGCACAGCCCTCCCTCCCTCAAACCAAAGTCAATTGCAAGATATGTTATCATCTCCCTGATGTCATGGTCCTCTTTGAGAATGAAGGATGAACCATACACAATCATTTTCCAATTCAGGAAGGTAAATAGTTTAACCTTATTAAGTCTATTATGATTTCCCATTCCTGTTTACCTTTTTATGCTTCTCTCCAGTCCTGTATTTGAAAGTCAGATTTTTTATTCAGCTCTCGTCTTTTCATCAAGATGCTTAAAAATTCTATTTCATGGAATGTCCAACTTTTCCCCTGAAGGATTATACTCAATTTTTTCTGGGTAAGTGATTCTTGGTTGTGATCCTAGCTCCTTTGCCTTCCAAAATATCATATTTCAAGCCATATGATAGTTTAATGTACAAGGTACTAAATCTTCTGTTATACTGTGACTCCACAATACTTCAACTGTTTCATTCTGGCTATGGCTACTTGCAATATTTTCTCGTCGACGCGGAGTTCTTGAAGTTGGGTATAATATTCCTGGTAGTTTTCATTTTGGGATCTCTTTCAGGAGGTGATATGTAGATTCTTTCAATTTTTATTTTACCCTCTGGTTCCAGAATATCAGGGCAGTTTTCCTTGATAATTTCTTGAAAGATAATGTCTAGGTTCTTTTTTTGATCATTGCTTTCAGGTAGTCCAATAATTTAAAATTCTCCTGGACCTATTTTTCAAGTCAGTTGTTTTCTAGTCCAATAATTTCAAATTATCCCTCCAGGATCTATAATCGATTTCTTTGTCTGTGGATCCCTGAACTTTCAAAAAGGTTCTGCATTTTTCATTCCTGAAATGGTTTCTTTGCCAAAGATTCAGACTCCTTCTTGTGGACACATGGCAACAATAAGGATAGAAAGCATATTGCCACAAACCATTTCTTTTGGTGAAGATTTACTTCTCAAGGGTGGGTTTTGGAAAGGGAATCATGACTGGCAACTAGAGAAGATGCTTCTGGATAGACAGATGAAATTCTTCAAATGTACTCATGAAGGGTCTTTTCTGAAGGGTACATGCAGAAGGAAGTATAGCTCCAATCATAGGAATGACAGTTATGGTGGTGATGAAGATGATGTGATTGTCAGTATCTTGTGAGTTTTGGACTTCTTTTGACATTGCATTATCATGGCTAGTGAGTAAGGTAAGAGCCATTCTTCCATATATTTTACAAAGGAGTTATTTGAAGCTTAGTTTGTCAAACTGTGGGAACCAAGTTGCTTCAACTGAGAGAGCTGAAGTGAGATTTGAAGTCAAAACTTCCAGCATCCAAGTGCAGATGAGCTTGTAACCACTTGCACACCTCCCAAGTTCAAACTCTTTAAGCTCTTCTACTCCATTGACCTTCATCTGTTCAGCTCTGGTCATACCATTGTGTTCAAGGTTCACACAAGTGTGATGACACCTTTCAGCTGCATTGATGAGTCCATAGAGAGAAATGAGGCCAGCAGCACTTTCTGCAGACAAATAAAGGGACCGGTATAAATGCATGTACAGCCCTTGTCTTCTAACATAGTCCTGTCATAGGCTTGTTAGACCCTGACGTGTGGAGTTCTCACTCCTTATTTTTGGCTTTTTTCATTACTTGTGAAATTTTCTCACACATTCATTTCTGGTGAATTGCTGCTGGCTCAAGGTTCCTTGCAAAAGACAAATATGGTAATAGGGCAGGTGTCAGTTACAGAATGATACTGATGAGTACTTAATGAATCATTTTGCATGGGATTTAGCATTTAAAATTACTATGAATATGCGCTATGGTTTCTGTGACAGAATGGTCTTTTCTCTGGAGCAATTGCACATGCAAATAGTAAGCTGATATTTGAAAACAATTTTCAATTTTTCATTTTGATTTTGTAAGGAACTTCTGTAGGCTGATTTTTGGAAACCACGTTCCAGTCAGGAAACCCCGCTTTCAATGAAACTTGTCCTGTTGTTGCTGTTATCCCTCATTATCAGGGCTACAGCTCACTGTGAAGCTACTAGTAAATGTATTGAGATTTACTCACACCAAATTGAGTCTCCTCAGTATCAGAGGAGGAGGTCCTGACACGTGTCTAGTTTCTTTCCTTCAACACAACAATGAAACCATTTTGCTTATCACCACTGGTAGTTCTTTGGTTTTATTTTGGTTTTATTTTATTTTATTTTTCAGAGTTAACTGTCGTTGTGATAACCTGTGTGAGCTCTTTGGTATTTTCAGAGTTGAGAGAGGTTGCACAACCTCTGTGACTCTGGCCATTTCTTTTCAGAGTTGACAGCTGTTGACTAGATTTGACTAAAGTCTGTGTGCTTCACTGGGGGAGGCTAATCTGTGTGGACTGATTGAGGTGCTTAGTCACACCCTGGGAGGGAGAAATTCAAGATACAGAAGAGAGGAGAGAGCATTCAGCTAGACACCTGAGAAAGAACTCATGGAGGGAGAAAGAGGCGAGCTCTAGACCTGGGCTTGACCTTGATCTGGGCTAATCCACAGGGAACTTGGAAAGGTCTGGAGGACTGACACTTCTCCCCCAGCATCTGAGCTGGGGGAATTTCTGACCTAATTTTTTACATATTGAGCCAAGGGCAGACCAGATTCAAAGCACTACAAAGGGCCCAACAGGAAAGTATTGAACATTACATTGACTCCGTGTCCCATTCTTCCCAGTTCTTGTCAATCTATGTGTGTGTGTGGGGGGAAAGGTTCTGTGGAGGAAGTTGACATGAATCTGTAGCATTTTGCATTACCTGCTGTTTGTTACGCACCCCTGCCTGTGACATAGTACCCCTACCTGCAAATTGTTACTGTTCTTGAAAACTTGGGGAAGAAATGAGATGCAATGGCCCAGACTCTTTTGATGAGGTAGATTTATTTGAATTGGCTTTAAAGTTCTCATTAAAAGCTGGCCTCTACCTTCAAGCTATCATTGATCTTCATTTGCTACCTTAACATACTTATAATAAACTTATATGCCTTTAGAGAACTTTGATTTCTTCTTCTGAAAACTAATCATTCATATCCTTTGATCATAGGGGCAGTTCGGTGGTGAGTGGATAGACCACTGGCCCTGGATTCAGGAGGACCTGAGTTCAAATCTGGCATCAGACACATAACACTTACTGGCTGTGTAACCCCGGGCAAGTCACTTAACCCCATTGCCTAGCCAAAAACAAAAACAAACATATCCTTTACTTACTTATCAATTACAGAATGACTCATATTCTTATAAATCTGACTCAGTCCTCTACATACGTGAGAAGTGTGGCATTTATTAGTGAAATTTGATGTAAATTCCCCCACCCACAAATTCTTTGCTTTCCTTGTAACCTTGGCTGCATTGGCTTTATGTCCCAAAATATTCTTTTTCGCTTGTTTAATCATAAAGTATTCCCTTATCCGCAGGGGGAAAAAAAAACTTGTAGTGAACTCCAGGAGGATGAAGAAGTAAACGTTGGAAGGGCACTGAAGATATCAAAGTTGTAAGTCTCTGATGATTTTTACTGTTGGAAGAGAAATAAAAAACAGATGAGGAAAGTGGGGAGGGAAGCACATTCTCAGAAGAGCCCAGAAATCTGGCAGGTCCGTGAAGTCTTCCTCCTTGGCCCACCCTGTCAGCACAGTCTCTAAGGAGCAGGCAGAGGGAATGATGCCATGGAACACATCTTAGTTACCTACTCCAGCAAGAATCATAGAAAAACGCTGCTTCGTACAGTAACAAAAACTCAGATGCACATAGCTATACCCCAGGACATTCTGAGCTATACAAGAAGGTATAAAAACAATTTCCCGTGTCTAGAAGGCACTTGTTAGTGAAAAGCTACTACCCAGGAAGGCGATAAGGGTGGAAACACTGGCACTTTAAGCTTGTTTCACAAGGACAAGACACATTTATCATTGTATAAGTCTGAGAGTACTGTGAGAACCTGCTGCTAAGATAATCTTAGACTGAAGTACATGGGATGAGAGAAGTTGGAAGCAAAAGGCAAAGATCACCAGAGGAAGAAGCTAATAGCTATTTAACTAAACCATTACAACTAGAAAGAAAAGTGGTTTCCATGATGAGAGCTGTGAGGAATAGTAGCAGCTGTGCAACAGGGAATCCTGTTTCATGGGTGTGTCTGGCTTGAACCTGACCAAAAGAACAGGCACGATGAGAACCCTTCACTTATCAGTCAAATAATGAAAGGCCTAATGATAGCAATGTGAAAAATGTTCATCCCTTTGTTAGATGGAACTTCAAGGTTTCAGAAGATTTATGGATGGAAGGAGCCCCAGAGGTCATATAGTTATGCTCCTTCATTTATCATGCTAGCTTGATGCCTATTCCAGTTTTTAATTTGGATTCTAATTTAGAGAGGCATACAGCTGGGCCTGGAGTCAAGAATACCCAAGTTCAAATCCAGCATTAGACATTAGCTGTGTGAACCTGGGCAAGTCACTTAAACTCAGTGTCCTCAGTTGTAAAATGGGGATAATAACAATCCTTCCCTCCCAGGGTTAAGGATCAAATGAGATAATATTTGAAAAGGGCCTAGCATGGTACCTAGCACATAATAGGCACTTAATAAATGATCCTTTCCTTCTTTCCAAGTTGATAATACAATCCTAGAAAATTCCTGCTTCAGTACACTCTGAAAGTTTAGTGTAGTTAAATAAGATAGATGGCTGAACATTCACTGGGTAATCATGGTGGTTAGCAAGGTAGAGGTTCTTTGAGATTATCAGCACACAGGCAGGGACTTGTCCCACTCCAAAAAGAGGGTAAACAATGATTAGGTAAACTATACTGGGCTTTAATGGCATTCACTCAAAACACTTGGATTAAAGTTGCCAAGCCAGCAAGCTGCCATTTTGGATATCATTCCTACTACCTTTTTCCAAACAATACTTCTCTGACTAAGAGTCAGACTTTTTAATGAGGTAAAGCTTTGTTACCTTGTAGCCTTTGCCTGATGAATTAGGCCTGAGTCCTTCCTTCTTGAAGGGTATTTTGGATCTGCTGCTATATGACATCTCTGCTCCCGTTTCTTGGTTCTTCTTTAGTTGCTATACGAATAAGAATCATCAGTGATAAGCACAACATCAAAAAAAAGGGGTGTGAAGGCAGAGCCCCAAAGCTAGTCTATAGCACACACAAAATGGAAGGCAAGGGATGGACATAGACTGTATTCTCTCACCATCCCTCCAACTTAGCTCACAGCTTTTCTCTCTTTGTTTTTACTTACTCGTTCCTGCTTTTCTTTCTCTTTGTTCAAATGAAACATCTTCCACTGTTCCATCATATATTCTGTGAATTTCTGGCCATTCACCACAAAAGTCTCAGAATGTTCTTTTTCCCACATTTCAATCCGCGTTTTCAACTCCTCTTCCAGCTGAGGTTATTTAAAAAAAGGAAAGCTTATTATCAATAACTCGCTAACACGCTATTAATCTTGCTGTTCCAAAGGGTGACTTCTTCCATTCAGGGGTCGATTGTGCTATTTCAATATGTTTGTAACTCTAAGCAAAACATGAGAGCAAGACAGAATGTACATAAAATTGATCATTAGGGGGAAAAAGCCCCAGCTTATTTAGATAACACATGAGGGAGCAAAGAGAAATAAATTACATGCACTTCTAAGTTTTTGTTTTGTTTTGTTTTAATGGCACCTGATGCTATGGCATTCAGCAAAACCCAAGTCACAATGGTTGGATCTTCACAAGAATTCTAATGCCTGAGGAAGCTCCATCCTAAGAACATCTTTTGTGACCCAATGGACAACTCTAGTAAGGATAGCCTTCTTGAGAGGTATAATGTAGCATTCTATCTGTTTGGAGAAATTAATATAGGACTTGTTTCTTGGGCAGAAAACTTAAAAAAATTACTTAGTTAATTCATTTTTAGTTTTCAACATTCACTTCTATGAGAATGAAATTTTGAGTTTTAAATTTTCTCCCCCTCCCACCCTGCCTCCCTGCCTGCCTCCCTCCCCAAGATGGTGTGTAATCTGATATAGGGTCTACAGATATATTAAACACATTTTCACATTAGTCATGTTGTATAGAAGAATTAGAACCAATGTGAGGAACCATGAGAAAGAAGAAACAAAACAAAACCAAAAGAAAAAAAAGAATGCAAATAATATGCTTCCATTTGCATTCACACTCCATAATTCTTTCTCTGGATGTGCATAGTATTTTCCATCTTGACTCTTTTGCAGATGTCTTCGATCTTTGCACTGCTAAGAAGAGGTAAGTGTATCAAAGTTGCTCATCACATACTGTGACTGTTACTGTGTACAACGTTTTCCTGTTTCTGCTCACTTCACTCAGCATCAGTTCATGTAAGTTTTTCCAGGTTTTTCTGAAGTCCACCTGCTCATCATTACTTATGGAACACTAGTATTCCATTACATTCATATACCACAACTTGTTCTGCCATTCCCCAATAGATGAGCCTCCTCTCAGTTTCCAATTACTGACCACCACAAAAAGAGCTGCTGTAAATATTTTTGGTACACGTGGGTCCTTTTCCCATTTGTATGGCCTCTTTGGGATACAGACCAAGAAGTGGTATTGCTGGGTCAAAGGTATACAGTTTTATGGCCCTTTGGACATACTTCCAAATTGCTCTCCAGAATGGTTGGATTAGTTTATAACTCCATCAACAATGCATTAGTGTTCTAGTTTTCCCATATCCTCTCCAGCATTTATAATTTTCCTGTTTTATCATGTTATTCAACCTAATAGGTGTGATACACTACCTCAGAATTGTTTTGTTTTGCATTTATCTAATCAAAGTGATATAGAGCATTTCTTCCTCTGAAAACTGCCTGTTCACATCCGTTGACCATTTGTCATTTGGGGAATGACTTGTATTCTTATAAGTTTGACTCCGTTCACTACATATTTTAGAAATGAGGCCTTTATCAGAGACACTGGTTGTAAAAACTGTTTTCAAGCTTTCTGCTTCCCTTCTAATTTTGGTTGCATTGGCTTTGTTTCTGTGAAACCTTTTCCATTTAATGTAATCAAAATTATCCATTTTGCATTTCATAATGTTTTCTATCCCTTGTCTGGTCACAAATTCTTCCATTCTCCATAAATCTGACAGGTAAACTTCTTTGCTCTCCTAGTTTGCTTATAGTATCAGCCTTTGTATCTAAATTGTGAACCTATTCTGACTTTATCCTGGTATAGGGTGTAAGATATTGGTCTATGCCTCATTTCTGCCATACTATTTTCCGGTTTTCCCAGAAATTTTTGTCAAATCATGAGTTCTTATTCCAGAAGCTGGGGGCTTTGGGTTTATCAAACAGTAGATTACTGTAGTCACTGTTGGGCAGAAAACTTAAAGGACAGATTTTAAAAGGCATTTTTTGGTGTTTTCTTTTTTGTCACCTTTATTTCTGAATGTATCTCTCTCATTCTTTCCTCCTCCAGGAGTCATCCCTCATAACAAAGAAAAAAATGGGTGGGGTGGGGAGGAGTGCAAAGCAATTCAACAAAACCAACCAAGACATCAACCAACTGGAGAGTACCACACCTAAAAAACCCCACTGGTACAAAGAAAAAAAAAGGACGTTCAGGGACCTTTTCTTAACTCTTTTTCCAGGCCAAGTTTGGTCATTGTCATTAAGCAGTGTTCAACTAGAAAATTTTGTTCTTTCTATTGATGTTGTTGTAATCAGTGTGTGTTGTTTTCCTTATTCTGCTTTTATCAAAGCTCGATTTTGAAATGAAGGACCTTTCGTGTAAAACATGAAGAGCACTCCAAAAAGCATTGTCTACCTTAAAGAGTGTTTTTTGTAGCTTGGCTCCATGCTTTTCTTCTTTTAAGAGATTTCCACCACGGTTCCTAAATCGGCTTGGATCTGAAGCTTTTCTCTGTGGAGACAACATTTTTTTTTAAATTGATTTTATTCTGAATTCTAGAAATAAAACAACCATTTCTGTAACATATTAGAATAGAAAAAACATGACTGCACATGAAACTGCAAATCTATGATGTACAACTTGCTATTCCTTTAAAATATGTATTAAAGCTATCATGTAACTTTTTTTTTTTTTTTCTTTCCTCACTGCCCCAGACCTAGAGATGGCTACCATTAGAAACAAATAAGTATTTTTATGTAAAATAATTCTATACATACTTCTATTTATCAGTTCTTTTTCTGGATGCAGATAGCATCTTCCTTCATAGGTCATGTGTAGTTAATATGGGTATTTATAAGAGTCAAAATACATTACTAGCTCCAAGTTGTTCTTAAAATAATATTGCTGTTAATGTATGCAATGTTCTCTTGGTTCTGCTCAATTTGTGCTTCATTATTTCATGCAAGTCTATCCATGTTTTTCAAAGATCATCAAACTCATCATTTCTTATAACAATAGTCATAAACCACAACTTGTTCAGCCATCCCCTAACTGATAAGCATCCCCATAATTTCCAGTTCTTTGCCACCACAAAGAGAGCTGCTATAAATACTTTGGAACATATAGGTTCTTTTCCTTTTTCTCTAAGTATCTTTGGAAATAGACCTAGTAATGGTATTGCAGGGTCAAACGGTATAGGCAGTCTAATAACTCTTTGGGCATAATTCCAGATTGCTCTTCAAAATGGTTAGATCAGTTCACAGTTACACCAACTATGAATTAGTGTCCCAATTTTTCCATATCTCCTCCAACATTTGGCACTTTCCTCTTCAATTATTTTGGCCAATTGGGTAGGTGTAAAATGATATCTCAAGATTATTTTAATTTTGATTTCTCTAATCAATCATGATTTAGAGCATTTTGTCATATGACTATACATTATTTCAATTTCTTTATTGGAAAGCTGCCTGTTCATATCCTTTGACCATTTATCAAGTGGGAAATAACTTGTATTTTTATACATTTGACAAAGTTCTGTATATATTTGAGATATCAGAACTTTATTTGAGAAACTATGTATAAAATTTTACCCCAATTTTCTGCTTTCCTTCTGATCTTGGCTACATTTGTTTTATTTGAACAAAACCTTTTTAACTTGATGTAACTGAAATTTTCCATTTTACACCTCATACTGCTCTCTATACCTTGTTTCTTCATAGATTGTTCACCTCTCCGTAAGCCTGATAGGTAATATATTCCATGTTCTTCAATCTTTCTTGTAATATCTCTCTTTCTATATAGGTCATGTATCCATTTTGACCTTATCTTGGGAAATGGTGTATGGTAATGGTCTATGCCCAATTTCTGCCGGACTACTTTTCAGCTTTTTCAACAATTTTGTACTAACTAATGAATTCTTCTCTCAAAAACATAAGTCTTCACACTTGTCAAACACACACGGTTATTACTAAAGTAATTTGCTGCTGTAAATGGAGACAATAAATTTTAATTAGAGCTACTATTTAAGCAATAAATCCAAACATAGAAGGAAGATTTAGTTCTTGGGAGTCCTTTAATTTCATAAAACCATACACCTCAGAAGCCAGAAATGTATTCCTTCCCTGCACTAACAACTAAGGTGCCAGAAAAGGAATCCAAAGTATTCCCAACCAGAACTCATCTTTAAATAGGTTCATGAGAAGTTACCAAGACATGGCTTGTGGAAATGAGGAGACTTAGGAGGCAAAACCAGGTTTCAGAAATCTCATTGCACCAAGGAATGGGGTTTCAGCAATTCTATTCAGCACAACTTATTACACTCTTCTTTTCTTGCCTTTCCCTCCCTCTCTCCCTCTAAAAAAGTACCTCAAATTCCAAGAAAAGCCTCCAGTTCTTTTCCCACTTCTGAATGCCTTCAAATAGTTCTTTGTGCAGCTCATAATATTGTTTCACCTTCACAATTTCTTCATCATGGAGCCTTAGCAAGATCTCTGTGTAGTTCTCTGTGTGAGGGAGATAAATAAGCCAAACTTTAAAATTCCTCTAAAGTCTTGCTAATCTTTCCTGTTTCCAATATAGCAAAATGCTCCAAATTTCCAAGTATAATGAGTCACTTACACTCTTCTCTTCTCACACCCTCACTTGATCCATTCCATCCCATATTTTTCAGCAAATTACCCTTCTCTCATCCCTACTTTCTCTCCAATCTTTCATTTCTCCCTGTCTGCTGTATGCTTTCCTGATGTCTACAAGCATGCTCATATCTCCTCCACCCTTAAACTCTCACTTGATACATCTATCTCTGCTGACTATTAACCTGTAGACCTCTCCTCTCTTTTGTAGCTAACCTCCTCAAGGAAGCTGTCTACAATCCATGTCTTCACTTCCTTTCCTCTTACGCTTAGCCACTCTGTCTTCTGACCTCATCATTCAATGCTCTCTAAAGTTATCTATGATCTTTTCATTTATTTGACTTTTAATATACTCCATAATATATATAAAACCAAAATTTAACCTTTGCTTTTTACAATTTTGAGTTCCAAATTCTCTTCCACCCTCCCCTTCCTTTCCCCTTTCCAAGAAAACAAGCAATTTGATAAATGTTATACATGTGTAGTCATGCAAAACATATTGCTATATTAGTCATGCTGTGAAAGAAAGCACAGTCAAAAAAAAAAGGAAAAAGAAAGAAAGTTTAAAGAAATAGTACGCTACCAGCTGCATTGAGATTCCATCAGCTTTTTTCTCTGGAGGTGGATAGCATTTTTCATCAGAGGTCTTTTAGAAGTGTCTTGGATCACTGTATTGCTAAGGATAGCTAAGTCATTCACAGGTGATCATCATACAACATTGTTGTTACTATGTACAATGTTCTCCTGGTTCTGCCCACTTTACTTTGCATCAGTTCCTGTAAGTCCAGGTTTTTGTGAAAGCATCTTGCTCATCATTTCTTACAGCACAATAGTATTCAATTGCAATCATATGACTTCTTAACTGCCAAATCTAATAGCCATTTCTCAATCTTCATCTTTCTTGACCTCTCTGTCATCTTTAACAGTATCAACCCACCCTCCTCTCCTAGATATTCTTTTCTCTCTAGGTTTTCATTACACTTCTCTCTCTTGGTTCTCTTTCTAACAGTTTGACTGATTTCAGTTCTTGTTAGATCTTCATCCAGTTTGTACCCACTATCAGTGGGTATCCCCTAAAGTCTCTATTCCGGGCAATCTTCTCCCTCTATATTTTTGATTGATGATCTCATCAGTTGTCACAGATTCAATTATCATCTCTATGCCAATGATTCTCAAATCTATTTTATCCAGTTCTAAAAGTCTCTCTGAACTTCCATTCTCGTATCTCCAACTGCCTCTTGGATATTTTGAACTAGATGTCAACTCAGCTTGGCCAATACTGAACTGATTATCTTTCTTCTTCATCTTCCCTCAAACTCTCCCTTCTTCTAAACTCACCATCCTCTCACCTACCAGTACCATGATTCCTCACTTTCTCATCTCCCAATATCCCATACTTTGCCAAATCTTGTCAATTCTAATTTCATATCTTTCATGTACATGCCTTTCTCTCCTCTAACACTGCCAATACCCTACTGCAATCCCTCATCACATCACACCTAGACTACTGCAATGGCCTTCTGGACTCCCTATCTCCAGTCTCTTCCCCACTCCAGTCAATCCTTCACTCAGCCATCTGAGTGATCTTCCTAAAGAGCAATTCTTTGTTATCTCCTCTTCAATGAAATTCAATAAAGTCACACCAATGGATCCCTTTACTTCCAGGATCAAACAGAATAGGCCCTGTTTGCCTTTGAAAACTCTTCATAACCTGGCCCTTACCCACCTTTCCAGTTTTATTATCCCTTATTCTCTTCCATGTAGTCTATGGTCCAGTGACACTGGTTTCCTCATTTTTCCTCAAACGAGACTCTCCCTCTCAGGGGGTGAAGCCAAGATGGCAGAGTAAAAGCAGTACCTTGCTTGAGCTCTCCCCCAAACCCCACCTAATAGTTGTAAAAAAAATGGCTCTAAACAAATTCTAGAGCAGTAGAACCCACAAAAAGACAGAGTGAAATAAATTTCCAGCCCAAGAAAACCTGGATGGTTGATAAGAAAGGTCTGTTGTGCCGGGATGGTAGAGGAGCACAGTTCAGCATGGGCCAGGTAGGCAAAAACAGGCCCTCAGTTAACCTGGAGCATGCCTCAGGGGACTGAATCACAGGACAGTTGTAGCGGTTTCCAGACTTCTCAACTCACAAATGGCAAAGACAACTTAGAAGATCAGTAGGAAAGGTCTGTTGGACCTTGATGCGAGAGGAGAGCAGTCTGGCCTCAGTCCTAGTACAGCCCCTTGGAGGCAGCTGCTTCTGGAACTGTTGACCCATAGACAGTGGGAGGATTGAGTGGCTGATCAGAGAATGATTGCAGGGATCTCTTTGCTGGTGCTGAGGCAGGATTCTCTTGCTTTGCCGATACTTGGATCTGAGTTGCAGCTCTGAATGGTGGTCCTGGGGTGAAGAGGACCATTGGTGTGGTACAGCTTTTGGCAATGATGGAGAGAGAATCATCTTCACAGTTCCAAGGCAGAAAAGAGTGTTTATGGTCACTCATGGACTACAGTACATGCCAGGAATGGAGTAAACACCTCACCTTTGATCATTTAGAAAGAACTGAAAATTTACAGGTCCCTAGAATTATCTCTGAAAACTGCTGCAAAAAAACCCTGAAGCTTGGGACAGTGCATTCTCCAAACTGGAAGCAGACCCCTACCTTAACAAAGAGTTTAAAACTCAAGTAATTGGGTGAGAACATGAATAGGCAGCATGGAAAAAAAAACTTAGTCCATAAAATCTTACTTTGGTGGCAAAGAAGATCAAAACATGCAGCCAGAAGAAGACAACAGAGTCAAATCTCCTACATCCAAAGACTCCAAGAAAACAAAACAAAACAAAAAATATATATATATATTATATTATATATATATATATATATATATATATATATATATATATATATATATATATATATATATATATATATGAATCAGTTCCAGGCCATGGAAGAGCTCAAAAGGATTTTGAGAAGCAAGTAAGAGAAGTAGAGGAAAAACTGGGAAGAGAAATGAGAGTGATGGAAGAAAATCAAAAATAAGTCAACAGCTTCCTAAAGGGGACCTAAAAAATACTGAAGAAAATAACACCTTAAAAATGGACTAACCCAAATGGCAAAAGAGGTCCAAATGCCAATGAGGAGAAGAATGCCTTAAAAAGCAAAAATGGCCAAATGGAAAAGGAAGTCCAGAAGTTCACTGAAGAAATTAATTCCTTAAAAATTAGAATGGAACAAATGGAAGCTAGTGACTTCATGAGAAATCAAGACACTGTAGAACAAATCCAAAAAAAGGAAAAAATAGAAGACAACGAATGTGAAATATCTCATTGGAAAAACAAGTGACCTGGAAAATAGATGCAGAAGAGATAATATTAAAATTATTGGACTACCTGAAAGCCATGATCAAAAAAGGGGCCTAGACGTCATCTTTCAAGAAATTGTCAAGGAAAACTGCCCTCATATTCCAGAACCAGAGGGTAAAATAGAAATAGAAACAATGCACAGATCACCTCCTGAACGAGATCCCAAAAGGAAAACTCCAGGGAATATTATAGACAAATTCCAGAGCTGCCAAGTCAAGGAGAAAATATTGCAAGCAGCCATAAAGAAATAATTCAAGTATTGTAGAAATGCAATCAGGATAACAAGATTTAGTGGTTTCTATGTTAAGGGATCAGATGGCTTGGAATAAGATATTCCAGAAGTCTAAGGAACTAGGATTACAACCAAGATTCACCTACCCAGCAAAACTGAGTATAATGCTTCAGGGGAAAAAAATTGACATTCAGCGAAATAGAGGACTCTCAAACATTCTTGATGAAAAGACTAGAGCTAAATAGAAAATTTGGTTTTCATATACAAGACCCATGAATAAGTAAACAGGAAAGAGAAATCATAAAGGACTTATTAAAGCTGAACTGTTTACATTCTTACATGGAAAGATGATATTTGTAATTCATGGGACCCTTCTCAGTATTAGGGTAATTGTAGGGAAAACATAGATAGATCGATAGATAGATAGATAGATAGATAGATAGATAGATAGATAGGTAGATAGATAGACAGACAGACAGATATAGGTATATGTATAGACAGAGGACACAGAATGAATTGAAGATGAAGGGATGATATCTAAAAAATAAAATCAAGGAGTGAGAGAGGATTATACTGGGAGAAAGAGAAAGAGAGAGGTAGAATGGGGTAAATTATCTCACATAAAATAGACAAGAAAAAGCTTTTACAGTGGAGGGGAAGTGGAAGAAAGTGAGAGAGAATGAGTGCATCTTAATCTCATCAGATTTGGCTTAAGGAGGGAATAACATACACACTCAATTGGATATAGAAATCTATTTTACCCTTTAGGAAAATAAGGGGGAAGGGGTAAGCAGAACCAAACACTTTTGAGGAGGAACAGAGTCTAAGGAGAGAATAGAATAAATGGCAGGTAGGATAGGATGACTGGAAATATAGTTTTTCACAACATGACTACTACGGAAGTATTTTGCATGACTACACATATATAACCTGTATCAAGTTGCTTGCATTCTCAATGACGGTGGGTGAGGAGGGAGGAAGGGGGGAAATTTGGAACCCAAAGTTTTAAAAACAAATGTTAAAAATTGTTTTTATGTATAACTGGGAAATAAGATACATAGGTAATGGGGTATAGAAATCAATCCTGCCCTACAGGAAAATTGAAGGGGAAGGGGATAAGAGAAGGGGGAGATAGAAGGGAGGACAGATTAGGGGAAGGGATATTCAGAATGCACACTGTCTTGGGGTGGGGGAAGGGATGATATGGAGAGAAAATTTGGAACTCAAAATCTTGTGGAAGTGAATGTTGGAAACTCAAAATAAATAAATAATTTTTAAAATGACGCTCCCTCTCTCCACTCTAGGCATTTTTATTGGCTCTTTCTCCCTCTTCATCTCTGCCTCATGGTTTCCCTGGTTGCCTTCAAGTCTCAGCTAAAATCCCACTTTCTACAAGAAGCCTTTCCCTTTAATGCTAGTACATTCCCTCAGTTTGCATTGGATATTGCTTGTACATAATTGTTTGCATGTTGTTTCTTCCATTAGTTGTGAGGTCCTTGAGGGCAAAGACTGTTTTTTTGTCTTTCTTTGCAACCCCAGTGTTTAACACAGGGCACATGACAATCACTCTCTAAACTAACTTTAATAAAAAAACAATAATCACCATATGACTGAAAAGCTTTTAATGGTTCTCTACTCACAGAATAAAGTCCATATTCTTTTATTCATCCTTCTAGGGCCAGGAAAATGCTATATATATAATTATGTATACGCACATATATACACATACATACACATTCTCTCTCTATATATATACGTGTACATATAGATACATAAATACATATATGTATATATATACACATATATGAAGTAAATATGATTGATTTCCTTTGTGTTTTATTTTATGCAGTTAAAAACGCTATTTCGATTAAGGGTCCATAGACTTCAGATTGCCATAAAGGTCCATGACACAAAGGTTAAGAACGCATGTTCTAAACCCTCTAATGGCACAGCCTTACCTTTCCCACTCCTCCCCTAAATAGATAATGCTATGTTCAATCTAACCTCCATGCTTTCCTTCATACTATATCTATTCTACCCTTTCTATCGAAATACTATCCATCCTTTAAAGCCCAGGTCAAACACTATCTCCTGCTTTCAGGTCTCCCCTGTTACTTCGTCTCAGTTACTATTTGTGTAGCATTTAATTGTACTATTACTTTTTTATGAAATCACATACTCCCTTCTATTTTCTATGGTTATTCCCTGATATTAATCGTGTTTACATGTTAGCCATCTCTCTCCAATGAAAATATAAGCTCCTTAAGGGTAGGACCCAAGTTTTCTAAATTTCTTTTGCATCCCCTGCCTCAGGATTAAGCACAGTAGCATATCAGAAACTTGACAAAAATAGATGCTTGGGTGTATCATCCCAGGTGGCCAGCTACATTGAGAGATTCAAGAGGGAAAAGTTTCCTACTCCTTTCCTACTCTGTCATATAATTTCTATAGGAAATGCTTCAAATGAGAAAAACTGCAGATCACTTCCAACAGCCTTACAAACTGTCATCTGTACAAGAATACCAATTTACATTGATAACAAGAAAAATAATCTGACCTGAATTCTTTTTCAAACACATGTTCTTCTCAGATCTGGCTTATAGAAGTGCAGCAGCAAGCAGGCAAGCCTAGGTTGATATAGTTCCCGTACTAACCGTTATAGTAATGTGTAAAGGCTGCTTTCTGCTGTTGGCTGTAAAAGCATTTTTCCCAATATAGTGCCAGCTCCACCCTGATTGCTTCAATCATTTTCTTCAAGTTCTGAATCCTCAAATCCTCCAACCGATCCACTTCTAACTGTAGCTGCAAAGGGGAGAACTGTCCAAAAAGTGCTTCTCTTTTTTCTCGAGAACAGATTTAACATTAGTTTTATGCCAAGCTTCTTCTGTTTAGTCAAGCCTCAGTTTAGAGTTTGATTTCACCTAATCATCTACCAAGTTTTCAGGGCTCAAATTAACAGGCAAGAGCACTGGCAATAAAAGGTTAGTTCATAATTCAAGGTATTCAATGACTCAAAAGTATGTTCTAAGATGGTTTCTAAGAATGAATCTATAAAAGAGGGACACTGGGGCAGCTAGGTGGCACAGAGGATAGAGCTCCAGGCTTGGATTCAGGAGGACCTGAGTTCAAATCCGGCCTCAGACACTTGACACTTACTAGCTGTGTGACCCTGGGCAAGTCACTTAACCCCATTGCCTAGGCAAATAAATAAATGAAAAACAAACAAACAAACAAATAAACAAACAAATAAATGAAAGACGGTCATTAGTTTCCTAAGTCTTCCATAATTTTCAGAGGATAGTAAACAAAACCCAGAAAGTCATAGAGACAAATATATGGCCTCCTTGCCAAAACTGATGGAAAAACATAGAAACTTCTGTTATAGAAGTTGACAATCTATGGTATACACACAAAAGATAATGCATCCCATTCCCCTGGCACAAAAGATGTCTCACAGGTCAGAGGTCAGACGGCAACAAGCAATCCTTTCTTTCTGCCATGTCTGACACACTAAGGAAAAGAATCAGAACGTTGACATACCAAGACAGAAAGGTTGCCCATGTCTGGCCTATTATATTTTCTTACCACTTTTCTGATCATGGCCTTTGGCCCAGTGATGGACATGGCCAGAGCTTCTCTCTCCCGGGTAGGTATTTGTAACCAGAGCCAAAGTTCCCTGATTCGACAGTGTAGCCCTTTACACACAACTTCATTCTCAGCTTTTTCCTTTTCTAGCTGCAACAAAGAAAATGCATTCCTAATCAAAGTAAAGTACCTCCTTTTAAAAGAGAAATAGCTGAAGATGTTGAAGCAACAAGGCAGAAGACAGGAGTGGGTGTCTGAAATCTGATCAGCTGAAAAGAGAGTGAATTAATGAAAACAAGTTAAGGACTTCCAATGCACCAGGCACTGGGCATCTAAATACGAGCAAGCATGGCAGTCACTGCTCTCAAGGAGCTTATGTTCTGATGTGGTAAGGTAACACATAAAAGGGAGGCAGAAGGAGGAGAGAAATGCGTGACTGGCAACATGGTTTGGAAATGGTTGGAAGTGCTCTGGAGGCCTGATAATTCCAGGACTTCAGGCAACATATGACATAAGTTCACCTACTGGGGCAGCTAGTTTGGCACAGTGGATAGAGCACCGGCCTTGAAGTCAGGAGGACCTGAGTTCAAATATGGCCTCAAACACATAATACTCACTATCTGTGTGACTCTGAGCAAGTCACTTACCCCAATTATCTCACAAAAAAAAAAGTGGACCTATCAAGAGCCAGAATCCTAGGGACAGAAACCACATTCCAGTAGCAAGGGGTTGAGGCAACATGGTTTGGAAGTAGCTAGGAAGTGAAAATTGGCTAGGAGTTGGGTTCCTGTTTAAGGCCTTTCAGACAATAGTTCAGTGTTGCTTCTGTTTGTATTAAGGCTTTACAGAAATATTAACTAGAATCCAAGGCAGCTGAGCAAGCTGGTGAAAAAGACTGGAAGCTTACTATAAATAAAGTTCTATCAGGAGCCCACAGGTGGTGAATGGGTGGGAGCAAACAACTATTCACCAAGAGTTAGTTACAAGAACAAAACTTCCCACAAGTTTGAAGAACATGGAGAATTTTGTAATATGGAGAATTTTGTGATAAATGGAGAAAATAACATGCCGTTTAGCTGCCAGTGTCATGTGTACATGCACAAACTGCACGTTGTTCCCCCTATCAGAGGATACGGTAAAAGGGCTAATGGCATACCTCTTTCCAGGTATTCAGCAAGCATTTATTGAGCACCTACTAGATGTGAGGAATAATTTTAAAAAAAAGAGTGAAACAATCCCGATTCTCAAGGAACTTATATTGCAAGGTGTCAGGGCAAATGAAGTGTTCCTGGAAAGAATGAGAAGAAGTGCTTCAAAAGAGAATAAAAACAGCAAGAGGCATAACGGAATACTATCCTGTGTGGGGAGGTTCATGGATGTAAAAAAGTGACATGGCAGGGGGAAAGAGGGAAGACTTCATCGTTTTGAGCTCTGCAATAGATAACAATGCTCTTTCCACAGAGCAAGGATCTTGACCCTCTCAGAGGCAAACAGCTCTTTGTGTTCTGCTCTAAAGGAAGGATGATGTGCAACTGCTGTGTCGCCAAGAGAAGAGTTCTAATTAGAGGAAGAAGAAATTGGACTTCCTGCTGAGGGGTACACTAACCACAAATAATTCAGAGGTAAATTGAATATATAGAAACATTGTGGTAATGGCTAAAGTATTAGGATCAGGAAGATTATCAAGTTCACTTAAACTCTGCCTTAATTTCCTCAAGAGATTTGTAAAATGCTCTGTAAATGTTAAGGAACTGTATAAATACAAGCTATTATCATTATCACTGCCTTCTTCTAGCAGTTCACATAAGGATAAATCATAGTGAGAAAAGTGGCTCAAACAAACATACCAAAGTCTAAAGTAACTGGTGAATATGACAGTTAAACCATCATTAGTGATCTCTTAAAATTACTGAAACAGAGATACTACAAAATTGGAAATCAGCAGATTTCCCAGTTTACCCTCCAAAACAGGATAGTCTTCAAAATATGTTAGCAAACTTGACTTTGATGCCTGGGAAAATTCCAGAAAGTATTTGAAAAAAAAAGATTCTTTTTTATCATGATCTTGACAAACATCAACAAACATGGATATTTCCATTAAATAAGGAACAGAAAAAAGGATTGTGTAGGAAATTGTGTATCTCTATTACATACAGCTTATTTCTTCAAATATGTATACTTACATATATATATATATATATACATATATATATATGTATATATATATACATGTATATATATACATATATATGTATATATATACATATATATGTATATATGTATATATGTATATGTATATATGTGTATATATATATGTATATATATATACGTATATATATGTATATATATACATATATATGTATATATATGTATATATATATACATATATATATATATATGTATATATATGTATATATATATATATATATATACATATATATACATATATATGTATATATATGTATATATATGTATATATATGTATATATATGTATATATATACATATATATACATATATATATGTAAAATTCAACATGATAGTACAAGACGGCCATGCTCCCTATTGAAATTCTCCAACATCTGTCATTTTGCTTTTTTTTCTTAACTTGCCAATCTGATGGGTGTGAAGTAGAACCTCAGAGTTGCTTTAATTTGCATTTCCCTAGTTATTAGTACAAGACAGCTAGGTGGTGCATGGATAGAACACTGGATTGAGAATCAGGAAGATTCATCTTCCTGAATTCAAATCTGACCTCAGACACTTACTAGTTGTGTGACTCCCAGCAAGTCATTTAACTCAGTTTGTCTCAGTTCCTCATCTATAAAAATGAGCTGGAGAATTAATGGCAAACCTCTCTAGTATTTTCCCTAATAAAACATCAAAATAGAGTCATGAAGAGTTGGACATGACAGAAATGACTGAACAACAGCAACAGCACAATAATTGGTGATTTGAAGCATTTTTTCATGTGGTTATGTAGACCATTTGTCATCCTTCTAATTTTAACTGCATTTTGTTACAATTTTATGGAATCAAAATTATCCATTTCCATGGATCTTCTATGCTCCACTCTATCTCTTGTCTGGTCTTGAACTTTTCACCTAGAGTTGAGAAAAGTGTTTTCTTCATTTCTCCTCTAATTGATTTATGATGGGACCTTATATATCTAGGTCTGTTCATTTGGAGCTTGTTGAAGTACATGGTGTGAGATCTTGGTCTAAACTTGTTTTCTGCTAGACTGTTTTCTATTTTTCTCAGTAGTTTTTATCAAATACTGACACCTTATTCCAATAGTTGGGGTCTTTGATTGAATATCCCTCTTTTATCCTCTACCAAGAGAACCATTTCTTATGACAACAAAATCAAAATGAAAAGGGAAATAAAGCATATCTATAAAATTAATGAAAAAAGGTGTGGTAGCGAACATAATGAATTTGAAGTGAGAGGACTGAAATTCTAACTCTGCTACTTACTGCCTGTGTGACTTAGGTATGGGCCTTCCCCATGTCTCATCTGTAAAATAAAGGGTTTGAACTAGAGGGCCTTTTACCTATAGATCTATGATGCTATGATCCCATCAACAGTCTGGCAGGATATGTAATGCTCCATATCCATAGTCCCACACCTCTGCAAAGGGAGGGAAGTATATTTTCTCATCTCTTTGAGAACAAGCTTCATACAATACTTACATAGCATTCAGTATTGTTTTTAATCTTCCCACTTACATGATTGTAGTCATTCTGTATGGTTTTCCGGTTTCTGCTCCTTTCACTCTGCATCAACAGTTCATGTAAGTGTTCCCACAATTCTTTCAATTCTTCTTACTAAATTCTTCATATTCATCATATCTTACAATGTAGTAACATTCCATTATGTTTTTGTACCACAATTTGTTTAGACATTCTTCAAATAACGGCTATTTTGTTTCTACTTCTTTTCTACCACAGAAAGTTCAGCCAACATGGCTGATGTGAAACTGTTTCACAAGACATTACCTGTATAGTTGATATCATATTACTTGCTTTCTCAATGGGTGGGGGAGGGAATTTGGAACTCAAAACTTTTTTTTAATATTAAAAATAAAATTTTTAAAATTTAAAATGAAAAACAATGTTCTACTCTGTATAAGTTGTTAGATATGGAGTTTTTTGAAAAATCATTGACTTTGGGGGCGGATCCAAGATGGCGGAGTGAAAGCAGTGACTTGCTTAAGCTCTCCCCAAACCCCTCCAAATACTTATAAAAAATGGATCTAAACAAATTCTGAAGCAGCAGAATCCACAAAAAGACAGAGTGAAACAAATTTCCAGACCAAGACAACCTGGATGATTGATTAGAAAGGTGTATCGAGCCGGGCTGGGAGTGCAGCCCAGCACAGTGTGGGAGCACAGACCTCAGCGAAACTGGAGCAGGCCTCAGAGGACTGAATCTCAGACAGCTGTGGAGGTTTCCAGACTCCTCAACCTACTAATGCCAAAGACAATTTAGAAGGTCAGTGGGAAAAGTCTGTTTCTGTCGGTGCTGAGAAAGGAAGGCGGAGTCTCAGTTTCATTCCCTAAAATTGTGGTTGGGGGGGAAGCTGCTTGCTGAGCTTCCGGCCCACAGACTGAGGGGGAATCCAGTGGCTGATCAGAGAGGGATTGCAGGGATCTCTTTGCCAGTGCGGAGGCAGGAATCTCTTGCTTTGTCCGTGTTTGGATCTGGGTCACCATTCTTGGAGGCGATGCTGGGGTGAGGAGGAATTCTGGTATGGTGGAGCTTGTAGTGGCTGTGGAGAGGAACCCTTCCTCACAGTTACAGGACAGAAAGGAATACTTGTGGTCACAGGCCAGGAAAGGAGTAAATACCTCGCCCCTTATCATACCACCTTGGAAGAACTGAAAATTTAGAGGTACCTACAAGTATCTCTGAAAACAGCTGCACAAACCCCTGAAGCTTAGGACAGTAAATTCTCCACATTGGAAGCAGACTCTTACCTTAACAAAGAGTTTAAAACTCCAGTAATTGGCCAGGATCATGAGCAAGCAGCACAAAAAGAGTCAGACTACATTATCTTACTTTGGTGACAAAGAAGAACAAAATATACAACCAGAAGAAGACAATCTTACATCCTACATCCGAAGCCTCCAAGAAAAACATGAATCAGTCCCATGGCTTGTGAGAGGTCAAAGGGGATTTTGAGAAGCAAGTAAGGGAAGCGAGGAAAAACTGCAAAGAGAAATGTGAGTGATGCAAGAAAATCATGAAAAACAAGTCAACAGCTTGCTAAGGAGACCGAAAAAAATACTGAAGAAATTAACACCTTAAAAAATAGCCTAACCCAAATGGCAAAAGAGGTCCAAAAAGCCAATGAGGAGAAAAATGCCCTAAAAAGAAAAATTGGCCAAATGGAAAAGGAAGTCCAAAAGATCACTGAAGAAAATACTTCCTTAAAAATTAGAATATAGCAATTGGAAGCTAGTAAGTTTATGGGAAATCAAGACACTGTAAAACAAATCCAAAAGAATGAAAAATTAGAAAACAGTGTGAACTATCTCATTGTAAAAACAACTGACCTGGAAAATAAATCCAGGAGAGAGAATTTAAAAAATTATTGGACTGTCTGAAAGCAATGATCAAAACCAGAGCCTAGACATCATCTTTCAAGAAATTATCAAGGAAAACTGCCCTGATATAGTAGAACCAGAGGGCAAAATAGAAATTGAAAGAATCCACAGATCTCCTCCTGAAAGAGATCCCCAAAGGAAAACTCCTACGAATATTATAGTCAAAATCCAGAGTTCCCAGGTCAAGGAGAAAATATTACAAGCTGCCAGAAGGAAAAAATTCAAGTACTGTGGAAACACAATCAGGATAACACAAGATTTAGCAGCTTCTACATTAAAGGGCTACAGGGCATGGAATATAATATTCCGGAGGGCAAAGGAGGTAGGATTACAACCAAGAATCACCTACCCAGCAAAACTGAGTATAATCCTTCAGGGGAAAAAATGGTCATTTAGTGGAATAGAGGACTCTCAAGCATTCTTGATGAAAAGACCACAGCTGAATAGAAAGTTTGACTTTCAAATACAGGACTCCAGTGGAACATGAAGAGGTAAACCGGAAAGAGAAATCATTAGGGACTTATTAAGATTGAACTGTTTACATTCCTGCATGGAAAGATAATATTTATAACTCATGAGACCTTTGTCTGTATTACGGTAGTTGGAGGAAAAAAAATATATGTATGTATAGGTAGATAGATAGATAGAAGGCACAGGGTGAGTTGAAGATTAAGGGGTCATATCTGAAGAATAAAATTAAGGGATGATGGAGGATTATACTCAGAGAAGAAGAAAGGGAGAGGTAGAATGGGGTAAATTATCTCACAAAAAAGAAAAACAGAAAAGAAAAGTCTCTTACATTGGAGGGGAAGCAGGCGAAGGTGAGAGGGAATGAGTAAATCTTATTCTCATAGGATTTGGCTTAAGGAGGGAATAACATACACATTCTGTTGGGTATGGAGATTTGTCTTACCCTACAAAAAACAGGGGGAGAAGGGGACAAGAGAGCAGGGGGATGATAGAGAGGAGGGCCGATTGGAAAAGGGTGTAATCAGAAGTAAATACTTCTGAGGAGGAACAGGGTCAAAAGAAAGAATAGAATAAATGGGAGGGCAGAATAGGATTAAGGAAAATAGAGTTAGTTTTTCACAACATGTCTACTATGGAAGTGTTTTGCATAAGTGCACATGTACAACCTATATTGAGTTTCTTGCCTTTTCAATTAAGGTGGGTGGGGAGGGAGGAGGAGAGAAAATGTGAAACCTAAAGTTTTAAAACCGTGTGTCTAAAAAAAAGTTTTCACATGCTATTGGGAAATAAGAAATACAGGAAATGGGGTACAGAAGTCTATCCTGACCTACAGAAAAATAGAAGGGGAAGGGGATAAGAGAAGGGAGAAAGAAAGAAAAAAGGACAGACTAGGGGAAGGGATATTCAGAATGCATGCCATCTTGGGGTGGGGGAGGGTGAGACGGGCTGAAAATTTGGAACTCAAAAACTTGTGGAAATGAATGTTGAAAACTACAAATAAATAAATTTATATTTAAAAAAAAGAAAAGAAAAATCATTGACTTCCTTGGAGTACTTACTTAGCAGCAGGATCTCTACATTAAAGGGTATGAGCATTTTAGTCACTTTTTTCCCTCAGAAATTGTTTTCTTTTCTTTTTTTAAGGCAATTGGGGTTAAGTGACTTGCCCAGGGTCACACAGCTAGAAAGTGTAAAGCGTTTGGTCTGAGGCCAGATTTGAACTCAGGTCTTCCTGACTTCAGGGCTGGTGCTCTATCCATTGCACCACCTAGCTGGCCCCCAATTTTTTTTTCAAAATGATTAAACCAACTTTATTGTGCTTCTTCAACAGTGATTATTCCCATATTTTGTCACCTCTGCCAATTGCTGGGTTTTCATAGTTTTCTTTTTTCGAGGAAACCAGTTTGGAAACCTTAAAGAACTCTAGCAATGGAAATATTATCGTTTCTATTTTGGTTACAAGCTTGCCACTTTTGTATAAGGCGCAAAAAGAAATAAAAACAACCCAAGTTTCTAAAGTTAACATGAAACTACTGGGCCATACCGAGTAAACCCACATGTAGAAATAAAGCAAACATTGTCGATGTTCTAGCCGCAGCTCCTTTCCAAAGTTCTACACGCAAGTTACTAATATCTTGAATTTGCAGCGGTATACCTGTGAAAGCAGATTCTTTAGGGCTGTTATGTTCTCCAGTGACAGAAAAAAAGTCTCGTCATCCTATATACCACATCTCTCTCAAAATCCGTTTCTGGAGTGTGATCCAGATCTTCCATACAGAGTAGGATCTGCTTCTTTGCGCTAACAAATTCTTTCCGTCACCTTGCCTATAAAAGCAAATAAGTTATGAGGCACCTCAGAAGTGAGTGAAACACACAGACAGGAAGAATGTCAAGAAGCAATTATACCTTTGTTTCCTCCAGAGCTGCCAGGTGATTTCTGAACTGGTTCAGCTCCTCTATGCTGAGTACCGAGTCATTGTCAAGGCTGTATGGGAGCACACAAAGAATCTGACACAATTTGTGCTCTTGTTCTTGAAGTAGTTTCTGTTCTTGTACCCTTTCTTCTTTCTGTCTTTTCAATTCTTCTATCTGTGTTTGAAGATCGTTCTTTAGCTCCAAGATGGTAGTCTCCTTTCTTTCCTGTGCCAAATATCAGTGAATCAGAATAAAAACACTAAAAACAACCTTGCCAGAAGTAAAGGAAGGACAAGAGAGGGAAATTCTCAATTCGACTTATTTACAAGTTATCCCATAGCAATAGGGTTTTTTTGAGAGTTTCAGAGGTTTTTCAGAGAGATTCCCATAGAAGAAATAAAAAGTGTGGATATATAAGAGCATCATAGACTGTTTTTAATGAAACCAGAAAGAAGCTTGGTTTTGGTTAGTTCTAGGATGGGTCATTTAGCTTTTATGTGTTCTTCTTTAGGTGTGAGAGCAACTTAAAACCTCTGCTTTTGCTGGCTTAGTCTGGATTCATCCACGAAGCTATTTATAGCTTTGTCACATCCCTTTCTTCTGCCTTGTTATTCCTCTCTACTTTCCTCCTTTTTTAAAATACAGTGCCACCCACTCTCCACTTTGCATCTATGTCAGGAAGATTCCAGTTGATTGGCACATCCCTACCTGTGATATCAGAAGTATAAAGTGATCAATAAATCAAGAATCATATAATAAAAACTTCCTATGTGCCAGACATTATGCTGAGGATACAAAGAAAAAGCAAAAACAGATTCTGCTCTCAAGAAGCTTACATTCAAATGGGAGAGACAACATGTATGTAAATAGCGAGAGCAAGAGAAATACCAAGTACATTGAAAATCTTAGAGAGGAAGGCTTGAACAGCTGGGTGGGGGGAGGTAGGGTGGAATCAGGAAGGTGGAGTCAGGAAAAGTCTCCTGCAGAAGGTAGCTGTGGTAGGAATAGTAAGCTAACCTCTGTTTCTGCACGTTAGCCTAGTTTTTTCCTCAGACAGTGGTGTAAACATTTGTGATAATTGCTTGGCTTAGGGGACTAAAGAGTCATCACTTCCCAGTTACCTAAGTGCAGAGTATCGAGGATCAGCTCCAGAAGCTATCTGAGCAAGTTTCTCCCAGCTGAATCAAACCTGAGGTGATCTCAATGCCTAACCTTGTGGAACACATCCTTCTCCTGCTATGCTAAGTAAATTTCGTTTGGCTACCTGTAGAATGATGTCCAAGTGTTCATTTTGCTCTACTACTGAACCTAAAATTATCAGGGATCTGGCCTTAGGCAGGCCAAGCCAAGAATAAATGGCATAGTCATTCAGGATTGGAACATAAGGAGCATATTGAAATAAGGGGATGAGCAGTAAACACAGAAGGAGGTGAACTCACACTAGCAAGATTTCTGGTGATGCTTTTGGTGACAATAATAATAGCTAACATTGGGGCAGTGGATAGCACTCCGGCCGTGAAGTCAGGAGGATCTAAATTCAAATCCGGTCTCAGACACACAACACATACTAGGTGTGTGACCCTGGGCAAGTCACTTAACCCCAATTGCCTAGTAAAAAGCAAAAAAATAAAAAAATAATAATAATACTAGCTAACATTTATATAACATTTCAAGGTTTGCAAAATACTTTACAGATGTATCATCTTACCCTCACAACAACCCTGGCACATATGTGCTATTACTATCATCCACATTTTACAGATGAGGAAACTGAGGCAGAAATAAGTCACTTGCCCAGGGTAACACAGCTAGGATTTGGGGCAGGATTTGAATTCACATCTTCCTGACACCAGGTATAGTGCTTTACCCATTGCACAAATTAGCTGCATCTCTAGATTCTTCTAGAGACTGTAGTTGCTTACTGTAAGGTACCTTTCCCTTCTGGGATATCAGAGAATAAACTGGCTGTGGCTATTCAGCAAGGAAAGACCAATGTGAATATACTCCAAACCTCTAACTGGTACCTGAAGATAAGTACATCAAAGGATCTCTTAGGCCCTCCAGCTGTGTTGCCCCTGTGCTCTATGAGCAAAGCAGATTTGCAGTAGCTTGAAAGATACATGAGATGTGAACATTTAGAGCAATCTCCACCCCAAATGTTAATATGGACTATTTGTGCCCAACCTGTGATAGAGCCTTCTGAGCTCACATTGGGCTGAGCAGTCACAGTTGGACATGCTCTACCTTGACCCCAACATAGTGGTGTCGTTTTGGTCCCCTTCAAACATGAAGGACAACAACCAACCAACCTAGGCCTTAGTTCTATGAGGGGATCTCCTCAAAAATCAGTTTACCTTTGAAGAAGCCTAGAGGGATTAAATTTGGGGAACTGAAAGAGATCTCCCCTCCACTTAAAAACAAGAACAAAATCAGAAGAATGTGTTGTGTTCTACCTTTACCGAGATTGAATATTTTGTTTCCCCAAGGCTCACCAGTTGCCTCATCAAAGACCTACTGAAAGAATGCCCCTTCCAACTTTAAGGGAGTCAAATCTGTGTATGAATAGGGGAAGAATGGCTTTTGGGAAAAGACTGAATAGCAGAATAATCAGTATCCAGTCCTTTAAGTAGATAAGGACAAAATCAGCAAAGTGAGGGGTAGCATGAGGGTGTCCAAAAAAGAGAAAATGCGAATCAAGACACAGATCTGGAATTCTAAGACTGTTAACATTTAAATGTGCTGGAGAAACTGTATTGGCTTGTTTAATTTGGCCTTTGAGTGGCCTTCAATTATCTCCCTTCAGTTAATCTGTATTATCTGACAATTGTGATTACACTATGGCAATAGAGAACTCCATTTGAATCTGAACCAGCTAGATAAAAATATTTTAATCTGAATGACCTCAATAACTGCCCTGACAATCTCTCCATTTTATATATGTTGATACAGTCTGAGAGTGAACTAAAGACTTTCTTGGTCAATTTGGATATCATCATTAATATTGGGATGTAAAAAGTAGAACATAACTTAAAAACAGAAGTCAATGGAGAAGAAAGAAATGCAGTGAACATATTTCTCTGCACAATAAAAACTCCTCTTTCTAATGATCACTTAGTTGCATAGAGGTAAGACAATGTTCTTTAACTCTCTTGTATATCAACAGAGCCAGTGGCTGATTGAGCATGTTTCAAAGATGTCATCAGGCTGTCAGTGTGGATGTTGGCCCTGATAATGTCATGAGGAAAAAACAAAATAAAAATAACATAAAAGAATCAAATATCATTTTACACTTGTAACAATGCATTAAATCTCATAAGGCTGTCTGAGCAGTTTTATAATGCATGGTGAAAATATCCTCTGTAATATAGGCAGAGTGATATATGACAGTAATCAGAGTGGGAACATGACCTACGATTCCTCAGAAAAATGTTAACTACCTTGAGCCAACGTAAATAGCAAAAGAAGATACAACTATCCCCTGGGAAAACTTACACCGGACCCCAGGCCATCCTGTGAAAAATTAGGGAGGTGAATAGAATATTACAAAAGTTAGGTATGATAGACCTCTGGAGAAAATTGAATGAGGACAGAAAAGAATATACTTTTTCACGGTGGTACATGGCACATACATAAAAATTGAGCATCTACTAGGGCATAAAACCTCACAATCCAATGCGGAAAGGCAGAAATATTAAATGCATCCTTTTTAGATTGAATGGGATGTCCTAGTGAAGACTTCTCAGTGTAATTAAGGTAATGAGTTCAGAAGGTAGGATAGGGTTAAAGAATAGATTTCTGTAAGTTATTATTTTTTTTAGTGCCATATATCAGTAGTTAAAATTTGTCTAGTTGTTAAGCCCTGGCCTGCCTTCTGATCTTATCCAGATGCACCTTTTGCCCCAAGCCCCAGAAAACCCTTAAATGTTCAAGTCCCCTTATCTCTCTTTGACAGGGTCTTATGCAGATGTCTTTCTGTTCCCAGCATTATCTGTTCAATCCCTGAGATCTTCCAAAACAATTGTAAATTATCTTCCTAACTGCACATTTTTTAAATTGTTTCTTTGACATTATCTCAACTAACCAAGAAATATAGAGATGTATACTATGTCCTTTGTCCTATGTTAGAGTCTGGCATGTGAGATTGTGAGCCGAGTTAACAGACAGCTGTGAGGGAGGGGGAATTGAACCTTCAGGGTTATATAAACTGACTTCTTCCTCTGTGGGTTGTCTCCTCTCATCAGAGCCATTGGTGTGAGGACACCCAAATCTCAAGATTTGAAATAATAATAATAATAATAATAATAATAATAATAATAATAATAATAACTATAATAAAGTACTTTCTGTTTCTTCTTGGACACCTCTGTGTTTGTTTTATTTTTAATTTGAGTGGCATCCCACACAAGATCATGATTCATCAAAAATTATATGTAATAAATGGCCATGGAAAGACAGACTAAAAAATGATTGGAAAATAAATAATCTAATCCTAAAGAATGAGGGGGGGGTCAAACAAAAAATCATAGAAACAATCAATAATTTCATTCAAAAGAATGACAATAATGAGACAACATACCAAAACTTATAGGATGCAGTGAAAGCAGTTCTTAGGGGAAGTTATAAATCTCTAAATGCTTACATGAATAAAATAGAAGAAGAGTAGAGCAATGAATTGGTCATACAACTGAAAAAAAAACTAGAAAAAGAACAAATTAAAAATCCTCAATTAAACACCAAATTAGAAATATTGAAAACCAAAGGAGAAATTAAGAAAATTGAAATTAAGAAAATCATTGAACTAATAAATAAAACTAAGAGCTGATTTTATGAAAAAAAACATTAAAATGGATAAAGCTTTTGTGAGAGATGATCTCTAAAAAGTGAAACCTCCTTAGGGGATCAATAGTTCTTGTTAATATTTCTTGATAGTTTCTTTCAAAACCCTCCCCCGGCTCAGACCCTGTTTTTAAGCACATAACAGAAAGAATAAGTCCTGCCCCCAACCTGAACTGCTTGCCCTTAGCTTCCTGCCTTCTCTTGTCTCTGGGACAATGGGGAAAGGGTTAAGGAGGGGAAATTGCAGTAAATTTCGGTTTCCTAGGAATTACCTTACTCATGGGAATTCATCTCTAAACCCCCTCCTGATCACCACACCACTGCTACTTCAGCATTACGTTTACTAAGTAAGGACATGTATGTTTGGATTGGCTATACCCTGTTTTCTT